TATTCGAAATAGCTTGAAGAAGTAAGACAGAAAAGAAGTGTGAATAAAGGAATCAAGTAATAGAGTTTGCGAGTTGGAGTTAGTGAATTTACTCGAGGTCTGGTGCCAATGCGGTGAAGTTGTAGCCAGCTCGTTTTCAATCTGGTGTTATAATTCCTTTCACGATTAGGTTACAAAAGAATAGGTTTGCAGCCTCTTGGATTTTCTTATCTGGGCGATTCAGAAGTATGTCGTTCATATAGTTTTGAATATTTTTTTCCTTATTCATAGTTGTGTACTCTGTGCTACTAACGTTTACTAATAAGTTAACAACTGTGAGAATGCATAATTTATCTTGAGTCGTCACACCCTGCTGTAATAAAGCCATGAAACGAGCAACAACAGGGTGTGGGTGTGGGTGTAAAGGAAGAGAAACCGCATACCCACACTCACACCCACATCCACACCTACCCACACCCACCACCCACACCCACACCCACATCCACACCTACCTACACCCACCCACACCCACATCCTTATTAGTAATATTTCAAGTGCTATTTTTTTATAAGACTATAGTGTTTTCAAGTTTTTCTCAACATGAAATGTATTAAATTCATATTGGTATAGGAAGTAGTCAAATCAGGATGATTTGAAGGAAGAGTTTTTTCGCGGATTTCGTGTGCTTTTTTGCAAAATAAAAATGCTTTCGAGTATTCACCCATGATCCAATATCCTGATGCGATTTTGTTGTAAGAAATAACCAAATTGGGATGATTCGAAGGAAGAGATTGCTCATAAATCTCAACTGCTTTTTCGAAAAAGGAAACTGCTTTTGAATGCTTTTTCATTTTTGAATAAATCGAACCGATACTGTTGTAGGTAGTAGCCAAATCGAGATGATTTGAATGAAGTGTATTTTTGCAGATGTTGAGTACTTTTTTATAAACCGAAAGTGCTTTCGAATGTTGTCCCATCTCGGAATATACAAGACCGATGCTATTATAGGAAGTGAGTAACATGGGATAATTAGAAGGAAGAAGTCTTTCGTTGATTTCCATTGCTTTCTCCAGGTGTGAAAGTGCTTTCGGATACTTCTTGAGCGTGAAATATAGCGAACCAATATTAATGTAGGCGGAAGCTAATTCCGAATCATCCAAAATGGCACCATTTTCGCCGATTTTGACTATTTTTTCAAAGAACAAAATTGCTTTAAAGTTTTCACCTGTCTTCTTGTATAAAGAACCTATGCTGTCGTAAGAAGAAATGATATCAGGATGGTGTGGAGGAAGAACGTTTTGGCGGATATCAAGTGCTTTTTCGTAAAACGAGAGTGCTTTCGAGTATTCTTCTAGTTCGAAGTGCATCGAACCGACATTGTGGTATAAAGTAGCGAGAGCGGGATGATTTGATGAACATGCATTTGCATAAATTTCAAGTGCTTTTTCGTAAAATAAAAATGCTTGAGAGTACTTCTTCATGTTTTGGTACACCGAAGCAATGTCATTATAAGATATACTCAAACTGGGATGATTGTGTGGAAAAGCATTTTTAGTGATTTCATGCGCTTTTTCGTAAAACGACAGCGCTTGCGGATAATCGCCCGTTCTATTGTATACTGAAGCGATTTGAGCATAGGCGGTAGCCAGTTTAGGATTATCTGAAGGGAGTGCTCCTTGAAGAATTTCAACGGCTTTTTCTGAATTCGAAAGCGCTTTCGTATACTCGCCCATGGTATAATATATTAAACCGATATTACAATAGGAAACAGCCAAATCGGGATGGTTTGAAGCAAGCTTTTGTTGACTGCTTTCGAGTGATTTTTCGAAATATGAGGATGCTTTCGAGTACTCTCCCGTTATGAAATACAGCCAGCCGATGTTGTTGTTGGCAGTTGCTAAATGGGGATGATCCACCGGAAGAGTTCTTTGGAAGATTTCAAGCGCTTTTTCGTAAAATGAAAGTGCTTCTGAGTATTTGCACATGTTGGTATACGTCAAACCAATATTTGCATAGGAAACAGCCAATTTGGGATGGATTGAAGGAAATATTGTTTGCAAGGTTTCAACTGCTTTTTTATGGAAGCAAAGTGCGTTCGAATACTCGCCAATGTCATTGTACACTATAGCGATGTTGATATAACACACAGGCAAGCTGGGATGAATTGAAGGAAGTATTTTTTCGAAAATTGTAGCTGCTTCTTCATAAAGTGAAAGCGCTTTGGAGTACTCTCCCGTGTTATAATGCACTGTGCCGACGTTATTGTAGGAGATAGCAGAGTCAGACTGACTTGTAGAGGTAGATGTTTGATCGATTTCACGTGCTTTTTCGTAAAATGAAATAGCCTTAACATAATCGCCTTGTTGTACACAAATTCCTCCAAATTGATTATAGAGAAACGCTTTCTGCAAGTCATCGGATGTAAGATCAAACAGTGTCCCATATAATTGTTGGGCCTTATCCATTTCAGATAATATCATAAGCAATTGACCTAATCGATGCCATCCTGTTGATCCACGAGTCTCCTCTCGAATGCATTCAGTGAGAGCATTCAGTTGCTGATCATTATCACTAGTTAGTTTTAGTGTCACGTGCCAAAGCCTATTGTTATCACCAATTTGTTGAATCTCATCGATGCGAAAAATGGTATGCATTGAAAATAGATACTCCTTTTCTGAATTTTCTGAGCGATTGTAGTGGCTGATATTCTTAATATCGGCAAAAGGACTCGATGATACCTTTGGATCAATGTCCATTTCGAAGCAAATTCCTATTAAATCTGGACTGCTTGCATTACTTTCGGCGTAGGTATAAGCGACACTCGCGTCTGTGCTCGTCGATAAGAAGTTGTTGAACGACATCAATCCACCTTTTGTTTCCATCATTTTATCAAAATCCATCTTTGATAAGCCTTGACCCCGATAAACAGTGAGTGGCTGTGGCTGACGGTCAGCGGATTGTTCTGAGTGAAGTTGTTCGATATGTCGATGGAGATCTCGTATAAAAAAGCCCATCTTGATGATTGTGTCAAGTTCTTGAGTGCGCAGCGCCCGGTTGAGCATAGAATAGATAAAAGTCGTAGAAGTATACCACGAGATCGGCGTGTGCAGTTGATATTCTAGCTGAAATCTAGAAATAATGTTCTTGTCATAATCGTTTTTGGCATACAGTTCACGACAATAAGTGGTCATATCTTCGATTGATTGTTTATTATATTCGATTCCTACTAAAATTTCTTTAAGTATTTGTGTGTACATGAATGATTTGTCAAGTTGGTCCAAATTTTGGTGTGGCGAGTTGGTAGGTGGAATAAAACTGACTGATATAGAATTTTGATCACATTGTCTAACGACTTGTTTAAGTAATTCACAAATAGGAGTGATATTTGTGAAAACACCGGCTACTTTTGACCGCTCTTTTGCCCATTGATAGTGTGTCGATTCCCTTCTACAAAATATATAGATTGAGTCTAGTTGGAAAGCATCATGAATGTGAGATACTATAATTTCAGCGAGAGTATCAGACACAATCATGTATGCCTTTTCGTTTTTAATTCGAGTAAGAAAATCAATGCATAAATCGGCATCATTGAATGTATTGATGCTATTGATTATGCGTCGTAGTTGACCGATTGTATCCCGATAATAGTCATTTGATTCGTCGATATCTAGGTCCAGCCAGATGAGGAGAAAATTCTGAACAATGCGAGGATGTGCGATTGGACAACATCTTGTGTCGGGATTCTCAGACTGCGTGGCTGCAGCACTGATTGATGATTCCGTTATTGAAATTGCAGCTATAGAAGTACTGAGTAAATTGATAGCTGTCTCTTCGAAGATGGAACTGTTCATCTGCTTCTGTTTCTTCTTATCTAGATTTTTGTAAATAGATACTTTAGCTTATCTTCGTTGCATGCCGTATCAAAATAAAAATACTATTAGATGGGTGTGGGTGTGGGTGTGGGTGTGGGTGTGGGTGTGGGGTGTGGGTGTGGGGTGTGGGTGTGGGGTGTGGGGTGTGGGGTGTGGGGTGTGGATGGTGTGGGTGTGGGTGGGGATGTGGATGGTTTGGGTGTGGATGTGGGTGTGGATGTGGATAATGTGGGTGTGAGTGTACCCCCCCCCCCCCCCCCTCCGTATTAGAAGCCCCCTCTGGAAGAAGCAATAAGAGAGATGTATTAGAAGCCCATGGGCTTGTATTAAGTCCAAGATTTAGAATTTTTTTCAAAATCAATCAATTTTCTTCTGAACAATCACAGTACATGAGTAAATGCTCATCGCGCATCACGCTTCGTAAAATTGTTGTATATTCTTCCTTTATCTTTTTCATTATCATACATTTGATCATATGTTTGTAAAGTAAAGTAAAAACAATTCAATATTGGAACTTCATATCAAATAAACATTGACGTACATGACAGAACAATTCTTTGTTCTTATTTAAGAACGACAAAATTAATACATAACAATGAATCGTACACGTATTCAGGTGTTTCATAATGTGACCTGTTGTAAGAGGGAAATGCGCTGAATGAATAGGCTGAAAAGGCATATGTATACAAATATATCGCGACGGCACCGTCCATATGTCATTCAATTAAAATATCTTTTTCTTGAATTGTTTTTTATTAATTATGTACCAAATCGAAGAACATCTGGCGCCGTTACCAGGCGTTAGTACAAACTCGTTTTTAGACGAATCCATTTCCGACAATGATTCATGCGTTGAAATTACGTCTGTTGTCGATGAAAATGAAAATGAATTGATCGAATGGACTAGCTATTTACAACTTAATTCGGACAGTGACGAAGATAGCGACGAAAATTATTCTTCGACTCAGCCTGCACCACTCGTTAATTATTCGTCGTCAGAATCATCCAGTGATGATGAAAACTTATTACAATCATCTCATCCATCTGCATCTTCTAGTAACAATAGCATTGTCGATATTACGTCTTCATCAACATCAACTATCATCAACAAGCGCAAGCGACGTCAGTGGGCCGTAAACGAAAAATTAAATGCGATCGCCTGCTTCGAAAAAAAACAACAGCAAAAGCCAAACTGCTAGAGACGTCGGATGTGCTACAAAACAACTTCGCACATGCATCAAGGATAAAGATGAATTATTAAAATTGTCATCACGAAAGAAAGGTGAGTAATTCATTTTTATTAAATATAAAAAGTAACTCAAGCTCTAATTTTGTTTCCTTCAGGTAAAAAACACAAGCGTCTCGATGGAGGTGGTAAAAAATTAACTTATGTGGACCTTGACTCTCGTTTATTTGCATGGTATCGTCAAACGCGTACTGCTCCTGGATCGACAACCACACCTGTTTCTAATATTCGTAAGGAAAGAGTAACATTGCGTCAACTTCAACGCCGTGGACGACAACTAAGTGAAGAATTAAGTCATCCATGTTCATCATCGAAATGGTTTGATCGTTTTCTCGTTCGTCATCGACTTTCTCTTCAACGTCCTAAACGACAACAGAAGATTCCACTCGACGAAGTTCATCAGAAAGCAACTTCATTTTATACTTTTCTTCGACGAGCAAGTCGATGGGCTCCAAAACGTGACCCAATGGGGCCTTTACTCCGTGTGACGTCTTTAATATGGATGAATCTCCACTTGCATTATTCGGCGATCAAGCAAAACGATCAATCAATGATATCAACACTTGCAATGAAGTAGAAGGATGTTTGAGTAACAAAGTGAGTACTTTTCTTTTTCTACAACACAACAAATTTAACTTGTTCATTCGTTGTGAGTTTTTGTATACAACTTGCAGGTGAATTTTCGTAGATCTATAAAACGCTGACCTGACAGGCTTCAGACCTAGTTAAAGTTTGCGTTATCAAATCTACATATTCCTTAACAAGAACGATTGAATATAATCACAAGTCTTCGTTGAATTTTAGAAGATATCGGTAGACAGGTCAGTTTTGCTTTTATGAGGAGCTATACAAAGAATTATTCTATTTGTTCTGATAAGATCGTAAGATCACAGTCTTTTTAGCATAATAAAAAAAATTATTCTATTTGTTAATTTATTTTGTTTCTTCATTCAGAGATTTTGTACGGTTATTCTTACAGTCTCAGGTGAAGATCAACGTGTTGGTCCTGTTTTATTATTTAAAGGGAAGGCTCACATTTCGCCTGATGAACAAAAACAATATGCTAATGATGTCAAAGTGTTCTTCACTCCAGAAGGCGTTATCAATATTCCAACGATGAACAAATATATTGAATGGTTCATTTGCAAGGTAAGACATCTCTAAGTTTTCTGAATAGAACTCTTCCGAATTATACATTCGATCCAGCTACAGTCGATTCTCCATTATTACATATTGATGAATCTGAAGACGATGATGAAGAACAACAACAAATTGAAATTCAAGCAAAATTAGCTGAATATCAGGACACAAAGTTATCACAACAGAAAAATAAACAATTAAAATTAACTCATTTTTGGAAAAAGTAATCGAATTAAATTAAATTAAAACTTCTTTTTTCCTTGCAATTTATAACTTATTCAAGCATTTTTTTGTATCTATATTTATGTTAATAAGATTTTGTATGATTAATTGAACTTCTTCTAAATAAAGAGTCAAGATATTTGAAACAACAACTTTCTTATGTTTTTTTCAGAAAATGTTACACAAAAGTCATAATAGAAGCCCCCTTTGAAATTTTTTTACAGTAGACAGTTTAGAAGCCCCGAGGGCTTCTAATATGGGGGGGGGGGGGGGGGTATAAATGGGGTATGGATGAATGTCAGTCAAAGTGTAATCAACAGTCACATCCACACCCATAGCCACCCGATGGCGTTGCATAACTTCTGGGAAATCAAACTGAAAAAGGAAATTGGATGACATTGCGCTCGTTACAAGAACTGTCCGAGACATTTAAAATCAAACAAGGAAAAATTGTTTGAGCGGGAGTATGTCTCTGAACATGACAAAATGAATAACCAGTGAAAACTTCTCCATTGAAAAGCTTTTCTCCGGAAAAATATAAGTCAGGTTAAAGATATAATATTGCTATCATTATAAGGTGTTTCTGAGAAGGTAAAAATTAAAAGTCACAGAAAGGATATGAGGTGGGAGATGATGTTACAAGATTTTTTGAAAGTGGGCAAAAGGATCTGTACTGAAACATGCGATAAATGAATAATGGAAATGGAGTAAAACGGTTGTTGTTAGATAAGAATACATCCCATTCCGCGATGTTGAACATTCCGGAATCAGTTCCCGTCCCGGAATCAATTCCACCGATTCCGGAACTACATTCAACCAGGCCACAATCCAATCCCGGAATCATTTACAACAAATCCTATCGATTCCGGAATCGCTCAGCCTTGTCATCACTCGCATCGTCTGAGGCTTATAACTGCATCTAATTCCGGATATCGCACGAATCCGGAATCGCAACCATTTGGAAGGAATTCCGCGGAATTCCTAGTGATTCCGGAACCGCTCAGCCTTCGTATCACACTCATCGACTGAGCGTTATAACTGGATGTAATTCCGAGACGGAATTCCGGGTATCTTAGGAATCCGGAATCGCAACGAATTGGAAGGAATTCGGCGGAATTCCTAATGATTCCGGAATCGCTCAGCCTTAGTATCACAGTGATAGGCTGAGACTTACAACTCGACGTAATTCCGGGACGGAATTCCAGGTATCATACGCATCCGGAATCGCAACGATTTCGAAGGAATTCCGCGGAATTCCTAGTGATTCCGGAATCGCTCAGCCTTGGTATCAGAGTCATCGGCTGAGGCTTATAACTGTAGGGTGTGGCTGTGGTTGCGGGTGTGGGGTGTAGATGAGCGTGTGAGGGTGGGTGCGGATATCTTCTCATCACACACACACACACCTACACACCCACACCCACACCCACACCTACCCACACCCAGACCCACACCCACACCCACCCACACCCACACTCACGCCAACACCCACACCCTCAATATATCGATAAAGATTGATAGAATAAAAACAGAGGTTGTAATTCCGGAACTGGACGGATTTGGACGGAATTCCTAGCAATTCCCACCGATTCCGGATCCGCTCAAATCCGGAATTCCTAAGCGGAATGTGGATGATGATTACATCGATAAAGATTGATAGAATAAAAACACAAGTTGTAATTCCGGAATTGGATGGAATTCGACGGAATTCCTACCAATTTCCACCGGTTCCGGATCCGCTCAAATCCGGAATTCCTAAGCGGAATCGGATGGTTAGTACATCGATAAAGATTGATGGAATAAAAACGCAAGTTGTAATTGCGAAATTAGACGGAATTGGGCCGAATTCCTACCAATTCCTACGGATTCCGGATCCGCTCAAATCCGGAATTCCTAAGCGGAATCGGATGGTGATTATATCGATAAAGATTGATAGAATAAAAGCACAAGTTGTAATTCCGGAATTGGATGGAATTGGACGGAATTCTTACGAATTGCCACCGATTCCGGTGTTGTTTAATTGGGGAATTCCTAAGAGTTGTTGCGGACTGAGTTTCTATTCGATTCCGGAATCGCGAGAAACGATTCCGGGGTCGGAACTGGTTCCGTAATGTTCAACTTTGCGGAATAGGATGACTGCTCTGTTAGATGACGTTTCCTAGATACTGAAAATAGCGGAAAAGATGATAGAAATCTACGAAATAAATAGAATAGAAGAAAATCTAAAAGAACAATTCGATTGTTTTCTAGGAAATAGCAATTCAAGTCTCAGATCATTGGATGAACCGAAAAAACTAACCGAAGGAATTTATTGAAGTTTTCTTATGTAATAATCTACAAATATGGGCTTTCAACACTAAAAAACGGACGGTAGAGTTGGTTGTATAATATCATAATTTAAAAAATGCAAGAGAACTGTAGATAACTATGGGGACAACTAAAAGACTAATATTAGCCGGGTGTGGATGTCTGATGTCTTAATGTCTCCTCTTAAGAGAGAGTCCGCGAGAAGACCACCCTACTCTCCATATAGGTCGCCGGGGAAAAAAAAAGTTTTTTCGATTTTATTTTCTTAAATGATAGGTCTAGATAAACTATAGTTAAATCCAAAATATTAGCGAATTTGGTTTTACCTATGGAAAATGCAAGCTAAAACAAGTCTAAGGGGGTCAAAATTGACCCTAAAAAGTCGCTAAAAATGAGTGTGCTCAGTACTTTGACATTTTCTCATGAATGGTTTGACCGTTTGAGATCGGGCACATCCTATTAGATAGGGCATAGTATAGGCTACAAATTTATCCAACTTTGATGATTCATATCTGAGATAAAAGAAACCCTATAGATCAAAAACCTTCCAAATCTAAAACAATCGACACTCTGGGATAGCAGTATTTTGGGTTTTTCTTGAGTGGTGCAAGCGGTACCAAACTTCTTTTTTTACCAGACATAGATCTTGTCAAGATACATCTTTTGACATTAAATTGTCAAGACGCAAAAACTAGGGGGCCAAGTTAGTATGGATCACACTGTCCCCTACCCTACCTAGTCACCATTGATCCTACCTCACAAAGATATACAATTTCTACAGAAATCACGAAAATGGACTTCAGATTCGTGTTCAGCTTGAAAAACTGGGTTAGATAGGCTATTTTAAATTGATTCCTTACTTGTATCAAGTGTGTTAATGACCATGGGTCCACTTCATGGCTATATAATACATATATGCAACGGTGTTTTGATAATAATTCAACAATACTAATAGCTATCGAGTTCGAGTTTTTACCATTCGATAGCCCTTTTCAAAAGCTACAAAACTATATATTTTCCAAGCTTATAACTCGTGATCACCTGAGTCATACCGAGGCACATTGATCTTGGAACACGATTTTCTGCATTTTTGCCCCCCTGTTTACCCCCTTTTTCGTTACAAAACAAAAGTTTAAGTGAAAATCAATGTCATATTCGGAATCAGCGTTAAAAACTGAGCCGATCCATGTACATTTTATAGATTTCTGAGAAACAAAATTTTCCTATGACAAAATGACCCTGTACTCCCCCTCAGGGTTCACGAAACAATTATTTCCCTCAAAATCATGTTCTAGTCGTTTAGTCTTTCGCCATTTTACTTTTGTTGAAATTACAGAAGCTCGGCTACTTCATTCCACACGATAAATCGCACTTTTGAGAAAAATTATTTTTTCATGAACCCTGAGGGGGAGTACAGGGTCAATTTTTCATAGGAAAATTTTTTTTCTCAGAACTCTATAAAATGTACATGGATCGACTCAGTTTTTAACGGTGATTCCGAATATGACATTGGTTTTGATTTAAAATGTTGTTTTGTAACGGAAAAGGCGGTAAACAGGGGGGCAAAAATGCAGAAAATCGTGTTCCAAGATCAATGTGCCTCGGTATGACTCAGGTGATCACGAGTTATAAGCTTGGAAAATATATAGTTTTGTAGCTTTTGAAAAGGGCTATCGAATGGTAAAAACTCGAACTCGATAGCTATTAGTATTGTTGAATTATTATCAAAACACCGTTGCATATATGTATTATATAGCCATGAAGTGGACCCATGGTCATTAACACACTTGATACAAGTAAGGAATCAATTTAAAATAGCCTATCTAACCCAGTTTTTCAAGCTGAACACGAATCTGAAGTCCATTTTCGTGATTTCTGTAGAAATTGTATATCTTTGTGAGGTAGGATCAATGGTGACTAGGTAGGGTAGGGGACAGTGTGATCCATACTAACTTGGCCCCCTAGTTTTTGCGTCTTGACAATTTAATGTCAAAAGATGTATCTTGACAAGATCTATGTCTGGTAAAAAAAGAAGTTTGGTACCGCTTGCACCACTCAAGAAAAACCCAAAATACTGCTATCCCAGAGTGTCGATTGTTTTAGATTTGGAAGGTTTTTGATCTATAGGGTTTCTTTTATCTCAGATATGAATCATCAAAGTTGGATAAATTTGTAGCCTATACTATGCCCTATCTAATAGGATGTGCCCGATCTCAAACGGTCAAACCATTCATGAGAAAATGTCAAAGTACTGAGCACACTCATTTTTAGCGACTTTTTAGGGTCAATTTTGACCCCCTTAGACTTGTTTTAGCTTGCATTTTCCATAGGTAAAACCAAATTCGCTAATATTTTGGATTTAACTATAGTTTATCTAGACCTATCATTTAAGAAAATAAAATCGAAAAAACTTTTTTTTTCCCCGGCGACCTATATGGAGAGTAGGGTGGTCTTCTCGCGGACCCTCTCTTAAGTCTCAGCTACGCCCATACTCACCGAATTAGCTCAATCAAAGAAATGTTTTTTTCGCATTGGCTATAATTTTGAAATATATCTACTGAGTTGTCATAGGACATTGATTAGAAGCAAAACAACTGTGTGGTTCCGCGAATTTTTCAGTTTTCTTTCCTGCGAGACTGATTGCTTCTACTTATATGGAGCAAAAACTCACTTAGAAATAAAAGTATAAAAGTTTGTGCTG